CATATGGTCCTATTATTGATCCTTGGTGTTCTATTATATATATATTTGGCATGGCCACTTAGTTTTATATCTTGATAAAAGGGATAACTAGGTAAATCGAGTTTAGATGTTTAACATATAAAAGAAGAGTAGGCTTGTAAATATGTAAAACCACTTTTGGTAAATAGTGTTGTACTAAACTAGTTAGTATGAAAAACGAAAGTAGAGTCTGTAAACATGTCAACCAATTTTAGATGTGCTAATAATGTAATAAAATAGTAGTATGCAGTTATAGTTTTTTTTTTTTTTTAATTTAGTACTTTCATACTTTTGTTTGATAACAATAAGGATAATTAGATGTGTATGGAAATGGAAACAATAAGAAAGGAATAGGAATAAATGATTTAATCATCTTTATAAAATATAATAATTAATGAAAAATTTTAGGTAATCAATTAAATGGTATGAGCTAAATAGATTTACTCTACCTTTAAGAAAAAGAATTTGACAAAAATAAATGACAGGAATCAAGCTATTTTAGTCGATACTATTAAAATAGAAAAATTTAATAGTGCATTTTAGATTGAAATTTTTAAATAATGTTGGACTTATTAACTATTTAATGGGCTTTCGCAGAGAAAACCATAATTAATAATACGAGTAAGAAGGACACGAGTGCTTTGTGTCTTATAGTCATGGTGAGACACGATGGTAATATCTTCAATGTATTTAGGTCCTAGCTCAAGGTTGTTATATTCAAACCTAATTAATATTAAATAAAAAAATAATTAACAAATTATAATATATATTTTTTATTTTAGAAAATAGGGATGGAACCCTAACAAATTTTATTAATTAAAAATTAAACATACAAAGGGGGACAATCCAGACCTTACCAAAAACAAAAATAGGGGATAAGGAAGCCTAAACCCCTAAGAAAACAAAACTTGTGTTACAATAGGAAAAGGAAAAACCTCAGCTTCTATAATTATTGAAATCAAGTCTATCATGTCTAAGAGACAACTTAACTACGGAGAGTAAATAAGAAAATGTTAAATAAACATTTTTACCTATAAGATAATATGCGTGGTAAGCTAGCCTATTTGCCATAATATTTTTCTCTCGATATACAAGAGAGAGGGAATGTCCCGGAACTAAAGAGGAGCAATATCTCACGTGATAGGTATAATGCCAAGGCAAATAGGAGAACCTTAGGATAGCTTGGACTACTTGCTTTGAGTCGACCTCCATAAATACATTATTAAGAGAAAGTTCTTAGCAGAGAAAAAGACCATCACATAAAGCTAGAAGTTCTGCTCTTGTATTAGTATCTATGCCATAATTATTTGGAAAAGCTACCATGACTTGCCCTCTTGAGTTATGAATAACACCCCCACTAATGCAATAACCATCTATAGAAGAGCCATCCATATTCAATTTATAACGATTATCCAAAGGTGACGACCATCGAACCCATTTACCTATGTTGAAAGGCAATGATAAAATCAAAAAACCTAAAGCCTATAGTCTCTACGTAGAAGAAACACTAGATAAAAATTTAGGCTTAAAAATAGTACACATATCGAAATTTGACAATGTACCCGATCAAAGATGGCATCAGCAGACATAGGAATCTCGTCAAATCTTGCTTTACACCTATGTTCCATAACTCCTAAAGGAAAGAGAATTGGGTTGTTACCCGACACATGCCTACTTGTGTTGAAGTGAGAGCCATCCGGACTCGGCATATATTAGAAGATGCTATATATGTAGTCCTTATCCCAAAATAAGGTGCTAGTCTAGCCCAAACTATATAACTAACTTCGAATGCAAAAAAAGATGATCAAGCGATTCTTCTCTAGGAGACACATAACAACTACAAATGGAGACCATTGGTGTGGTCAAATATTTTATCCTAGGGTCAATTGGCATAGCCCCATGGAACCAATTCTAGATGAGACCCCCTACTTTAGGAGGAATACAGGGGTTCCAAACTAATTTAGCCCACCAAACCCATGGCCGATGTTGTCTACAATAATTCCAATATGTTTTGGTTTCAAAACAACCTATCTTAGATAAGTTGAAAACCATCTTATCCTCTAAACCTTCGTCTACTTAGATAAGTTTAACGGAGTCATAAAATTGAGAGGGAATAAAAGGGAGAAAATCATTTCGACATTTAAAAGCCTCATTGATTGACAAATGTTAGGCCGGAGGTAATGGAGCATTTAAAATAGTTCCACACCAATTAGACCTCCAAAAAGAAATTGAACGCTTACCCACAATCCATGAAGTACATTTTTCCAAGATAGGAATTTGATTAATAATAGCCTTTCAAATGTAGGAAGAGTAGGACCAATATCGGGGAGTAATTCCATATTTAGCTATCGCCATCTTAGCCTATAAGTTATGCCCTTAAAGAAAAGATCGGGCTAGTTTAGCCTATAAAGCATCCATAACCTAAAAGAGACTACGAATACCCAATCCACCCTCCGACATCGATTGGCATACCCTATTCCAAGATACCTAGTGGTGTTTAGAATCTCTTGTCAAGCTCTATAACAAATTGGCCATTATCCATTCAATTTTACTAATAGTCATTTTTGGCAAAGGAATAACGAGAGATAGTATGTATTGGAATGCTACTTAGCACTACTTTTGAAAGTGTAATCCGAGCTCTAAAAGATAGGTATTTTGATTTCCACCCTCCTATCATATTTGTCAAAGATTTCTCTAAATACTAAAAATATTTACATTTTATATGACCAAGAAACAATGGCACCCTAAGATATTTAATAGGGAAGCTCTAATGGTTACATCCCGTCCATTCCTTGAGTAGAGCTATTTGATGATTAGGCATTTTCTTAGGGGTATAAAATCCACTCTTGAAAATGTTCAATAGATGACTTGAAGCTTTCTCATATTTTATAATCAATTGTCTAAGGCGAAAAATCAACTATTTAGAGCCATTATCGAAAAGCAACATATCATCTCGCATAAAACAAATGAGTAATGGTTATATCTACACGACCTCTTATCATGTAAGGAATGATTTGTCCTTCCCCGACGACATGTTTTAATGAGTATGAGAGAACTTGTTGAACTAGGGTAAAAAGTAAAGGAGATAGAGGATCTCCTTTTTTGACACCTCTACTAGATTTGAAAAAACCATAGTTCCTCCCCTAGACTCTAATGGTATACCAAACATTACTAATACAATAATAAACCAAGTCATACCATTGATTACAAAAACCCATTTCCCTCATGGTTCTTAGCAAAAAAGACTAATAAACTTTATCATAAGCTTTAGATATATCTAACTTGAAGATAAGGTTATTACCATGCCCTTTTCGTTTAAATCTACTCGTTAGTTCTTAAGCAATTGTAATATTTTTGGTGATGCTCTTACCCTTAACAAAATGAGCATGCTCTAATGAAATCATATCGGGAAGAACTTTACCTAATCTATTAGCCATGATTTTGGAGATAATTTTGCACCCGAACTTAAACTTTTGCTCGCCATATGTTTGGGAATCTGTCCACCCCTAAAAAAGTCTTAGATCGCCAAAATTACTTCCTTCTTAACCGAGTGTCCAATTAACCTTGAAAAAATGTCCAATAAAACCATCTAAGCCTAGTACACTTAAAGGATTAAGACCGATAACTACCTCCCAAATTTTAGGTTCGGATGGAATATCCGCAAGCATTAAATTTTGTCTTTTTGACACTTGTTTGAAATTACCCACAAATAGAGATTCATTCCTAGTAGATCTACCAGCGAGAGAATAGAGTTTGGAAAAACTCTATAGCTGCATGCCGTATCACATCTATATCATTTGTAAGGGTTCTATCAAGTTGCCTTAAACTTAATGATTGGTTCCTAGCGTTATACTTAATGCAAGCATGAAAGAAAGAAGTATTACGACCACCATCATATATCCAATTAGCCCTTGATTTTTATTGCAATAATTCTACCTCTCATCTATTCAACCTAGATAATTCATCTCTTGTCGTTTGCTAGTTTATATGGATATTCTCATTCCATCCATGCAACAAATCATTTTAAAGGAAAATAAACTTGTCCTAAAGATTCTCCATATGATGGTGAATATTTCCAAAAATATCCCGAGCTCCATTGTTTTAGTCTACGACCTAGAACTTTTAACTTAGATTAAAGAATATCCATAAGAGCCTTCGAAACGGGAGATTCCCAAACTCCTCTAATAAGAACCTCATACTCCTTATGCTCAATCCATTTACGTTAGAACATAAAAAGGGAAGGGGTTGTTTACCGGGTATAAAACGGATCAATAAAGGCGAATGATCCAAGTGAATCCTAGCAAGATGTTGGATCGAGATGGAAGGGAGGGAGGATACGAACTAGCCATTAATTAGGACTCTATCAAGTCTCTCCCAAATTCTAGCTAGACTCGACTAATTATTACACCATGTATACTCGGCTACCTATATATCCAAGCATCATCTACCCCAATATTATTACAACAATCCATAAATTCTCCGATTGCTTGGAGATCATATCTCGTATCACCAATTTTTTTTTACACATCTACTATGATATTAAAATTCCCATACTAACCAAGGAATCGATAAAGGCCAGCTAATCGGCTTAGATTAGCCCATAGGTTCAATCTTTCTATCCTAGAGCATTTGGCATAGACAAAAGAGCATAATATTGTACTCCAACCAAGAATTTTTATCCGAACCGTGATTACTTGCTCAACAATATCCATAGTAGTCACAAAAGTGTCAAAATTCTAGAAAAGCCAAACATGAACATTAATAGGATTAAAATGCATATGATACATGAAATGTAATTTTTTTGCAACCTCAATTTTTTCTCCATACAAACTTGGATTCTAAAATTACTAGTAACATTGGATGATGTTTTCATTTTAAAAGATTTAAATAATCTCTGGTGTCTTTATTTCCTACCCCCTAGCATTTCATAAATTGACCGACATAATTTAAAATTTAGGGTTAGGAGTACCTTATGCGTGTACAATCGCATGTCTCTTTCTCTTGAAATTTGGATCTTGAGATTTTGCTTTTCGAGCTAAATTTTTAATTGCCTTATGGTTTTTGTTTACTTGGTAGGTATCCACTCGCACAAAAGTTAACCGATAGGCTGATTGAGGACGAGAAGAAAAGGGGCTAGTAATTTGTTCTTTAGGATAAGCACTCGTTTTATAATGATCCTTGCCAACAACACATTGCTCCTTTTGGTCCAAACCCTCATCCTCTAAACCCTTTAGGATCAAGAAGTAGGTTGCCTCTGCAGTTGTATTGATGCCACATTTAATGTTAAACCCATTAAAAATGAACAAGTTAATCAAATTTAACCTAATTAATTTAAACTTAAATAAAATTAACTTAATTAAATATAATTCAAACCTAATTAAATTTAAACCTAAATCAAATAACCTTAATTTAATATAATTCAAACCTAATTAAATTTAAAATAACAAATAATTACCAATTTTCAATATAAATAAATTTAAAAAACAACCAATTAATAAAAATTAGCCTACTTAATTTTACTCTAATTCAAATTAATATAAGTAAATTAACCTTAATTTAAACCTAATTAAATTTAAATAAAAATTAATAAACAAATTAACCTAATTAATTTAACTCTAATCCAAATTAAACTAATTAATTTAAATCTAATTCAAATTAACCTTAATTAAAACCTAATTAACCTAATTAATTTAACCCTAATTAACAAATTAACCCAATTAATTTAAATGTTAATTAATTAACAAATTAGCCTAACCAATTTATCTCAAATTCAAATTAACTCAATTAATTTAATTCAAACTGAAATTAACCTAAGTAAATAACCCTAATTGAAACGTAATTAACCTAATTAATTTAACCCTAATTAAAAATTAACTCAATTAATTTAAATATCAATTAATTAACAAATTAGCCTAACTAATTTAACTCAAGTTCAAATTAACCCAATTAATTTAATTCTAATTCAGATTAACCTAAGTAAATTTACCCTAATTAAAATGTAACTAAATTAATTAATCTAATTAATTTAATCCTAATTAACAAATTAACCCAATTAATTAACCAATTACCCTAACCAATTGTCATAAGCCATTGTTGACTCTTCGTTTATTTTCATACAAAAAAAAAAATCAATTCAAAAATTCAAAAAACAAAAATTGGAGTGTTTACATAGTTATCTTTTTCATGATTTTTAGGTATTTTTATAAATTTTTAGGATTTTAATTTCTTAAAATTACCCCTCATTTTCAATTTAAAAAGAAAAAAAAAACATAAAACAAATGAAAAAGAGAAAAAATAATTAAAAATTGAGAAGATGATTTGAGATTCAATTGAAATGATATGAAAAAGCAAGGACTAGTTGATTTTCAAATGGAGGATGTAATTGGAAAGAGATAAAAATCAAGAAACTTGATTGAGAATTAATCAATGTAAAATTAAAAGAAATCCAAAGAACAGGGATTCAATAATTTAAATTAAAAAGTTAATTGGAGACAAATAATAAAATATATATTGAACTTGATAAAAATAATCCAAGGAATGACCTAATTGATTTTATCCCAAACCCTACAAAATCCATATATATACACCCTTTCACCTCATTTTTAGTACGCCTCCACAATTATTTCCTTACTCAAAAATAAATAAATAAATAAATAAATCTAGTCTCCGCAATTATTTCTCCACACAAAACAATCTCACTAAAATACCCATCGCCCTTACCCACAAAAAAGAACCAAAATGTAGTAAGTTAACTATTCATCTTTTCTTTAAAAAATTTCAGGGCACGAATCCCAAAAAGAACAAAAAATCTTTAAAAAGAAAAGAAAAGAGACTAGTAAACAACCCCTTGAAGGAGCTACCAATTTGGGTCACCAACTAGTCAACCCATAGACACGTCGGCATTTCCTCTCTTAAATCAATCATCCTTCGATCAAAATTACTTCAATCCACCACCATAAATCGATAGCCCACCATTATTTTCAACATTTCCAACTAGTTAGACAAAGAGACGACATTGAGGGAGGGAGAAATCGAGGAGAGAAGGTTGGTGACCCGACCTAATTGTGTACCCATTATTATCTTTATTTTCTAGCCAAACAAATAACCCCTCCACCACAAAAGTGTTCCTAATATTCTTAGGAGTGGTTCCCCCTCAAAATCATAATAAAAATATCATTGAAATTGGTTGAATTAAAGAGAAAAAGGAACCGAAAGACTCGTTTATCCGTTTCTTCGAAACCCGACTAAATCTCCTCGATCCGACCAAGTTGATCCTCCTAACCACGGTAGAAATGCTTCTCATAGTCCTCCGAGTAGCTTGATGGTCTCCTCCTTGCCTCCTTATGTTCAAAATCTTCATTTAGAAGAAACTAAGAAATGGTCAAACCTTTAACGATGTCGATCTACCTCCTTCGATGATTGTATCCACTATAGGACATTCGATGAGGACCTCCTCCTCCATGTACATTAGTCGGAGAAGGTGACAATGGTATTGGTGTTTCCAATAGGCGGTTTTATAATTTCGACATGTAAGGACATTTTAGTAATTTTTCCTCTAGAGGCATTTTGGTCATTTTCCGATAGTATCGCGAGGGCATTTTGGTCATTTTAGTGACCATTTGGTTTGTTCCTCTTAAATATTTATTTTTTAATTACTTTATAATCTTGTTTTATAATAATGTTAATTTTATTTGTATTAGAAAATTTAAAAATATTTAGGTTGTGATATTTATGTTAAGGTATGGAGTTAAGTCAATTGTCATGTTGGACCAATAAGTCTCCTATTTATTTGGGATAGACGATGGTTCTATATATTTTTTAGTGTTAAAAATTTCAAAAAGAAATAATGAGTCGAGTCGAGTCGATTTTATTCAGCATTTTACTTAAATATTTTTAGTAATTCGATCGTTCCTCGACAAGCCAATCGTATCAAGATATTAACTTGGATGTGATTCTAAATTGATGAGACTCTCAAATTTTAGGACCCGAAGTTAATTTAATATGATGCTACGGATAAAAAATATAAAAAAATCATTTTTGATAATGTTTTCTCACATGTCTCAAAATAAAACACATTTAGTTTTATCAAGAATAAGAACTAAAAAGAAAGAGTTTTTAAGCAAATTTAACGAGTCTCCTCTACAATAGAGATGAATGTTATTAAATAATTCAAATTAACTACTTTAGTAATCGAGTCATTCTTTGACATATCGGTTATGTCTAGACTTAAGCCGATTTCGATATTGGATTGATGAGACATTCGATGATCAATTCAATATGATGCCATAAATAAAATAAAAAAATTAATTTGATTTAAGTAATACGAGTTGGAATTTTGACTTGAAAAATTATTTCATAAAAATAGAAATTTTTAGAAAATAAACTTTTAGGATTACAAGTCAAGATGGTAGTTAAAATTAAGATGAATAGACAAGAAGAGTTGAGACTAGGAAACAAAGTTAACAATCAAAATGACAAAATGACACCGGTAAGTCTAAAAAGAAAAAAAAATCATGTATATTAAGATGACACCGGAACCTAAATAACGATTAAAGTGACAAAGTTCAAGTGGTATTGCCTAAACAAACTTCTATGGAGAACAAAATGATCCTACGTCATAAGATTTTTAAATACTTTTTGACCCATTATGTGTCCATTTTTTCATAAGCATAAGTCAAAGCCTACATTGCTTGCTTCTATAAGCCTTTTTTGATCAAAGACAATTTTTTTATGTTGTTGAATTCTAATCTCGGAAGAAAAAGGTGAATGATTGAGAAAAAAAAAGAAGAAAACATTACTAGTTAGCTAGCTATTTATCCATATTTCTTACACTAAATCATAAGTTTTCATCGACTAAACTTAGGGGCAAGAAAAATAAATAGATTCAAGATATTATTATGCAAAATTATCCTTCAAAATTAGTTTTTCTTAAAAACATTTTTCATTCACCAAAATAGACTTATCATTTGACTAATCACCTTTAATAGCATGAAAAACTAGTACTTATACAAACCTTACATGATCCAAACACGTTTGTTGCTTTAGCCTAAGAACTTTCTAGAGAAAATTACATCATAGCATTTAAATGTCATATTTACTTTTGAATAATCAACTTGAACATCTTTATGAATGAAAATACTTTCATCAAAACATCTTTATATTTCTTTCAAGTAATTTGAACTCGTATTTAAGAGAATTATTCAAGTTCATGGCTTAACTCATGAAAACCAACTGTCTATTCAATTATCTTTATCAAAATATGAGAAAAAAATTCAAGACCAATTTTCGGATTGTGATGCAAGCATCAAAAGATGAAATATGAGGACAAGTAGTGGTTATGCCAAAAGAGCAACAAGTGCATGTTCTTAACCACTACTTGGGGCATATCATGATCCAAATTAAATGATAATCAACAAAATTTAGAATACTCTAGTGGCAAGGCCAAGGACCTAAAAACTCTAATCAAATTCAACAACTAGTCAAACAAAGGCATCATCATGCCGGTTAGAGGGTAATGACTCAACAAGAGTTGAACAAGTGACTAAAGTAGTTAGGAACAGTCAAAACAAGGATAAACCATAACGGATAGATGGTTGTCACCTTCAAAAATTTTAAAAAGTCCAATCGGATGGTTTGCAAAAAGTAAAAACCCTAAGTTCATAATGAATAGTGATCAAGGCCCAAGGGGACAAGAAAAATTTTGCAATATTATAGGATATGGTTCAAGTACAAAAGTCCGGATAGCCAATAATGAGGTACCAAAGAAAGGGTTGAGTGCCAACAAGGTAGGGTAGCCTATATTTCTCTCAAGTAAAAAACTAATCATTGTAATTAGCCTTATTAATATGATTTAGGATTGTCAACTCGGATGAAAAGACAAAACTATCATTTAAGTACAAAATTCAAAAGTCATAAGATTATAAGGGGTTTGCGTTCCTCAAATCATAATTCTAGGTAGGGTCACCTAACAATATAGCATCATTCAAGAAGGTTCACCTCATAATAGCCCATCATTTCAAGCAAGGTCGCTCATAATAGACCATTATTTAAGCGAGGATTACCTCATAGTAGATCATCTTTTAGGCATGATAGTCATATACTAGATCATCAATTCAAGTAGGGTCACCTCACATTAGACTATCATTTAGGTAGGATTGCTTCACAGTAGACCATCAATTTAAGTAATGTCATCTCACAATAAACATCATTTTAGGTAGGATTGCCTTACAATAGGCCATCATTTCAAGTATAGTT